AGAAGACATTCCTCTCAACATACGTAGGGAAATCTGCTTTATGCATGATGGGGCACCACCTCATTATGTAAGAGTTGTACGAGAATGGCTTGATGATAATTTTCCTGATAGGTGGATAGGACGAGGCATAGACGCTCCTATTTCCTGGCCCGCTCGTTCGCCTGACCTCAATCCACTAGATTTTTCGATCTGGGGTTACATGAAATCTAGGGTTTATTCAAGCGAAATTCGAAATGTTGAGGAGCTGAGGCAAAAAATAGTGAGCGAATTTACGTTGTTGTAAAATGATCACCAAACTATGAACGGTTTGATGAATAATTTACGTAAACGCCTCAGATTATGTATAACCGAAAACGGTTGACATTTCGAACAGCTACTTAAATTTATTTTCATCATTTTTCTTCCATTCAAAATTATGTATTGATTAAAAGTACCAAAAACATTATCAAACTTTTATTTTTATTCGAACCTTGTTGGGACAGACTTATGCTATCTACTTATTGCTCAGTAACGTGGCACAGGGAGGTGATATTATCGACAAAATTAAAAACAAAATTGTCCATGGCCTGCTGAAATATCGTTATACCGATGAATCTCGCGATGAATAAAATCAATCTGCTGATATCATGTAACTACAAAAACTCAAATATCTCACGAACGGCTCGATTTTTTGTATTTGAATAAGAGTACCTTTTTCATGTAATTTTCTTCGCTTCATCAAATGCTCCTGTTTTTTCACCAAAAATAATACAGGGAAACAAGTTTTCTACAAAAAATCATAACTCACCCTCTGAAAACACCCTTTATAACAATATCAGAAATGTGGAAGTGTGACGAAAAAATGTATTTTGACAACATACATTCATGCACAAAATTTCAATCGGGTGGCTTTCATCGTTCAGAAGTTATGCGGAGAAATTATTTCAATTTTATCAACTTTGGAAGGATATATCTCCCTTAATATGCATTTTGGGCCATGAGTTCAATCATCAAACTACACTTATTTTTCAATGTTCTATCACCCCCAGAAAGCTCGGTACACATTCTTGACTCACCCTGTATATTATGAATGGATGGCCAGTCAAAAACAAATTGAAGTACGATACAGTGTGCTATTTCAAATATAGAGAGGAACTAAAGATAACAAGGTTTGAGAAGATCATGCCTCAAGCATTTACATGATGGACATTTTGGTCTTAATAAATGTTTAGTAAGGACAAAAGAAGCTGCATGGTGGCCAATGCTGAAAACAAATCAGATTTTGCATCTGATTTTCTCATGTGAAATATGCTGGAAACATAAAACATCTAGTGCTGAGCCAATGATCCCATATCAGATGTGCCTTCAAAACCATGGTCCATTTAAGGAGCAGATTTGACAGAATATAAAAAAACTATCTGGTTATGCAAGACTATTACTCGAAGTACCCAGATCAAAAGGTTGTCCAAGGTTACCAGTGAATCGGTCATCAAGGCCATGAAGGAGATATTTTCCCGTCATGGAATACCATACATAGTCAGGAGTGACAATGGCAGGCAATTAATTCACTAGTTTTCTTTACAAAACATTTTGAAAGAACTATGGTTTCAAGTGGGTGAGTTCTAGTCCACAATACCAACAGTCAAATGGTCAGGCTGAATCCACAGTAAAACTATTGAAAACAATAGTCAAGAAGAATCATGAAGATCCAAATTTAGCTCTTTTGAGTTACAGAAATACCAAGATGCAATGTGAAGCATCACCTGTCCGCTTTTATTTGGTCGAACATTGAAAGACAGGGTGCCTATGATGAGTGAAGATATAAGTCATGCCTAAAATACCGAATCATCGACAAATCCACAGGGTGAATGAAAAAAGGAATTGAAACGACGAGATAGAGTATGGATCATCGACATGAAGAAAGCAGGAACAGTTAAAGAGAAAATACCAGAACCAAGATCATATGCAGTGAACACAGAAAGTGGCATGATCAGACGAAATAACAGACATCTTCAAAAACTGCAATAATTCACAAAAGATTGCACCCAGTCGAGATGGTCCAGAACCTGAAGAAAGCCTAGAAGCATCAGAGCAACAAGAAGATTGTCCCGAAGTTACTGATGAAGCCGGAGGCTCCATTAGGCCAAGACGAGTCAAGAAAATGCCAAAACATTTGTTAGATTTTATCCTAGATGATGGCTCTGCCCTGCCTTTATTTGTTGTAAATTGAAAAAACAAGGGAGATGTTGTATAGGTTGGCTAGACTGTAGTTAGGTTAGGTTGATTGGGCTGGTTGATGTATGACAGATGACAAGAGATACGATGAAGAGGGCAATGGAATGATAAACAGAGATTGATGGTTAATTGTTAATGTTTATAAAAGACACCAAAAAGTAAAATAAGTAAAGATAATTTATTAATAGTTTGATAATTAATCTTACACGCTCGCCACATGAACAAATCGACTATGTATTCGTCTCTCAAATACTTTATGCAACCGGCCCTAAATATTTCGAAAATTTTCGGAATATTGGCGAATTAACATCTCTCTGTTCCAGAAAATCGTGGATTTTTGAGTTCAGTTATTCTCAGTTGGCCATGGCGCCCGCGGTTGTGTTAGAAACAATCAAGTGTCACAGAAATGTCATTGTGATCAATAATGCTGGGTCGTTTGAATTATTGAAATGAAGATTACTTAAATCTGTTATTTATATATGGCGAATATAATAGGGTTAGAGATATACGAAAATCATTTGGTCAGTTAATGTTCGATTTGACGCCCTTCAACTTCCAGACATTTTTCACATCTCATTAATAATTCTTGCTATGTCGCTCTTCGTATTAAAATAGAATAGAATATTTATTCATCCAACAGACCATTTTGAATTGGTATAGGAAAATTCAACAACAACAAAATCATGGAAAAATCATGATCGTGCATCGGGACTGGGATTCTCAAATGAATTCCTCACTCATTGCATACAACTTCCATGGTAGTTAAATGGGTTTCATAAAGTTGATTTCTAATTGTACTCCAAATGAAAAAATCGAGGACAGATAAATCTGGATAGCGACAATGGTCCATTGTTTGCTATCAACTGGTTATGAAACAACCCTTGAAAACGAGTATTGAGTAAGTGACCATTATACGGAGGTGCCCCGTCATGTTGATAACATGCTCAGCGATTGGTAAATTGTCCAAGTACTCATTTTAGGAATTATGCAAAATATTTAGATATCCTTCAGCTTCAAAAAGGTACATTACATCTCATTCTTGTTTCGAAATCGGCATCTGCTTTTTACTTACTATTTCAAAGTTACCCTTAATTTTGATGCTGAATGATATTTTCAAGAAGTACAAATGCCTATAAATCAATATCACTCAGTACATTGTAGTTTCGATCAGTCAGCGGAGTACATAGACGTCAGTTCCTTTAGACTTTGCAAAAACCGCTTACCGTGCGATAATACCTAGGTAAGCAATATCGAAAGGTAACGGCCATTCGCATTGCGGAAAATTGCGAATCTATCATCGATTTCAAATATAAATAGAACCCGAATCGATAAGGCATGGTCATTATCAGTTCAATCGTTATTCGATTCATCACTACCAATTATTATAAATCAGTACATAACCCTCATTCATCGATTGCTGACTTCCAAAGTGGCAATACGCCACTTTGGGGGTGTGACATCTCCATGACTTTGGTGCTGCTGCCCATAACATAATGTAAGTACCAAGAACCATAATCTTGTTTCTGTTGTTCGCTCGTTTCATGTTTCTTCTTTTCTGTTCCGTCTTTTTGGCACATTTTTATGTTTTCGTTTTCGTATTGAATGAATTGTTTGTTGTACCTTTGAAAAACAATTCTCTTCATTTTGGAATGAATATGGGTGGGTGATGAAATACTGAAAATCCTCTTGCGAAATAGCCAAGCGAGTACTCTCAAGTTGATACATCGAAGTAAAAGCGATGTTTGAGTTGCGACACGTGGTGAAGGTCCATCTGAGTTGCGACAATATAACACATTATAATAATAAGTGGTTTCCAATTGAAAAAAGGACTTTCAAAGATTTTTTCAAAGTATTTCAAATGTTAGTTTTTGATCACTCTGTATTCAATCAAAATATCAACACAGTACACTGAAGTAGCTCCCGTTCTATATGGAAACCAACCCCAATCGAATAATGAAAGATTTCACATAGGAGAAATTGATAGTTGATGCCAAAAATGGAAAATTTGTTTTTATTTCGTAATGTGCTCCATGTGCAATCGACCTTCAACATGCCATATGATTCAACTGCCATTTTGTGCTCCATTCGATTGAGAAACGATAGACAAGATCGCGCTCCCTGTATGTGCGCATGCACACAGACACGTTCAAGTTTTGCATTGCCTGAAAAAATGATTTTTGCCCCACCACTCTTCAGTTATGTTAAGGTTTGCAAACGTAATTTTTGACTTAAAATTCCAAATATGTCAAAAACGGTTAGACATAGGTATAGGACATTACACATGAAGTATGCCTAAAATTATTCGTAGAATCTAGAAATGGATCAATATATATGGTGTCCTATTTAAAAAAAGCAAGTTGACATCAACTTCCGGAATAACCAGAAGTTCTTCCATCTTGAAAATATTTTTGCCAATTTTCAATTCCGCCCTACTCATAGTTTTCTATATATTGATCGATAAGGTTACCGGAGGGACACTCTGTATGTCGTAGTCTTATAGTAAAATTCGTAATTTCATAAAAAGTTAGGCTTTCATCAAACATATATTTTCTCAATATTCTGTGATGTAGTGAGTAGAAAAAAGTTATATAATTATATTCCATGATATTATTCTTCCTCAACATGAAATAGTAGGTTGCTGCACTACATAACTTGATAATATATCCATGTTACGGAACGATAAGTTTCATGAAATACCTATGCTTTTCATGAAATTACGAATTTACTTGGTATTATAGGTATAGCAGTACTCCACACATGTCTAATACTCGATTCACATGACTAACCTGTAATTATGAATCAGTTCTATATCCCTCCTTGCTCTTTTTATTTCTTTTTTTGTGAGTTTTTTGACAGATGATGAATCCATATCAACAGTCTCTCTTTTAATTTTAATGATACAGGGTACAAGTACCATAGTATTAACTGGATAGTCTCCTGCTGCAGGGTTGGATGGTGTCCTGAATCTGAAATTCAGGGATATATTCGATTTTCAATAAAATAGTAACAAAATATATTCATTAAGATCAAGTTTCGGGCAATAGACGCACTACCAGATTATTTGACGACAAGCTGGTATGATGAACGTTCGATAATATATTAGCGGGCGAATGCGAATTTACCAAATTTTGAAGGGTTAGACATTTCGTATTGTGAGGCTGGCTACAGAAGTGTCGAATGTCAAATGTGAACAAAATAGACGCCACTGTCAAAATTATTGAATTTCCATTAGATGCATTACTCATCACATCAAAAACTGGTGAATTCCTGATTGTTGAAAATAAGAGGAAGAATAACTTCATGGACCCTTCGTTTTCTACAAGGTGTCCCAGGACAACGTATCATAAATTCTACAGGGTGAACAAGAGACCAAATTAGGCCACTTGAAATCAACTCACCCCTATATGAAAATGCATTGCATTGAGCCGTGAGAGGACGATGAAGATCAAATTTATTTCCAGATTTTCTTCAATATTTCGGAATCCTTGAAAGGTACTTCTCTGAAATTCGTAGGGAAATTCAAATGGAAGACGACATGTCGTACCAATTTAATCAATATACATGGAGTAAGGTATTTCGCATTATCTTTGATAAAAAGTAATGTATCTTTTTTTTCAAGTTCGGCACTGACCATACTTTGATATTTCGATGGATGACAAGGCATCAATAATATAGGGGCAGTTATAGGAAAAAACAATCGATTGAATATGTGATTTCCAATTTTTTGTCAGATGAAATTTGCGATTGTGATTTCGAAAAGATGAATTGACAGTTTCTTGAGGATGCTGATGCATCAAATATGAGAATAGTTCATCTCATATTAAACACTAATATCCTTTTCCCAAACAAATATTTTTTAACTCCCCTACACCACACGCCTATAATATCAGAATATTCACTATGCGAAATACTTCCTTTGCCTTACATACAAACATCACCAGAATTTCATGAAGAGCGGGACACACTATATGTTACTGTGTGGAATACAGAAAGTGGCAAAAGCGACAGTTCCTAATAGTTCCTATTATACAGGGTGTTTCCGAAATTAGGTCAATACATGATATGGGTAGAAAACGAAACAACAAACAAAATGAAGGAATGAATTTTTGTCGAAAAAAATATTCAGGAAGATATTGGAATTTTCAGTTTTGCAGCATCTATTGAGAATCACTCCCGGAAGTTAACGTCGAACACGTAAAGGACATGTTCATGTAAGATGACAGTTTTGCGAGTATTTCACCAAAACTGAACCCCAACTACCCTATATCAGAATCAGGTACCTAGTGAACCTCCATGTTTCCGAACATTGTAAATCAAAAATACCAAGCAGTTAAATGTTAATGTTTGTATACAAGATACACAATATTACTCCCAGGAAACAAATTACAGCAACCTGTCGAAAAATCAACACAGACAAATTGATCCCAGAATATACAGTTCTTTTTCCGGTCCCATTCTCAAGTGCTTTTTGTTGTAAATCCTAATGTTCAAGACTCGGATATATTGATTCTGGTAACAGTGCGGAAGACGGAAGTACACAACGATATTGCGAGAGGGCGTACTTATACTATGGGGGATCAAACCAGTGCTTCCCAAACTATGGTGAGTTCAATCGAAAATTTTTTGAAAATGTTTGTTTGTTCGTTCAAAAATTTTGGTTCTCTTGCCATTCATTGTGTCATTATGTGTAATCGAACACCCCATTTTATTTATTGCTCCAATTTCAGAAACACCATGTGTATGAAGATTAAAATGTTTAAGATAGGCAAGGATCATAAGTCATTAAATTTAGCTATGAAAAATATCTTAGAGGTTTGAGCAGATCAACAAATGTTTTATAACTGCCCGAAATCAATTCAGCTGATGAAACTTATATTTCATAGAATAAAAGCCTTCAAGAGGAGTTTCAGGAATACTTCTTTATTTGTCTATCCTGACTTGAAATACGATTACTCTGAAGGGGATGTGTACAATAACTTGATCAACTTCTTTTCCGTTGTATCTTTCAATAATATAGTTCTCTAGACTATCTCACTAGTCTCACCACATAGTTCGAATTTGTTTATAGATATTCATATTCCTAATGACACTGAAACAGTTGGTAACTTGAAACATAATATGAATGTCTCCGATAATTGGCAGGATCAAAAAAACTCTGAGAACACTATTCAAAATGATTTTTTATACCATCCTATTCATCAATTAACTCTCGTATAATATCGGCTTTGACACTCAACGTTCAATCCATTCAATATAAATGAGATGATTTGTATATTTTACTTGAAGCCTCAAACTATCCTCATCTTGTGTTGATTACGGAACATTGGTTGAGACCAGGCCAACCTATATAATATATTCCTGATTATTCGGTGGCTTCTAGCTTTTGCAGAAGTAACTACATGTGTGGTGGTACCATGATACTGATTCATAATAATCCGTTAACATCATCCTTGCAATTCACTGATATTCACATTTATGATGATATTATAGAAGAGAAACAATTCGAATTTGCATTGGTTAGTTCTAGTGAAGCTAATCTTTATGTGCTATGTATATATAGATCTCCCAATTCAGATGGTTTGCAGAAACTAGAAATACTTTTATTGAAACTACCATCTAAGGCATTGATTATTTTGGCGGGTGACCTCAACATCAATTATGATGACTTGAACTCGCTATAGATCTTACTCAGATCTTTCAACTTATCCATGCATACAAATAGGCCAACTAGGATCTGTCAATACTCAGAAAGCAAAATAGATTATATATGCACCAATCTGACTGAAGAGGAAATCACTTGCTCAGTTATCTCAGCAAATATTTCCGATCATGAGGCTGTCCTTTGTACTCTCAAGATCATTCGAGGAAATTATGATAATAAATATAAACTTGGAAGACTATTTAGTAAAAAAAATTATGACAAATTTTACAATAATGCTTTGAAACAGGAATGGAACCCTGTTTGGTGCACTGTCGACCCTTTCTTTTCTTTATATTCCCTATTGGTGGATTGCTTTGAATCATCCTTTCCTATTCAGAAATTAAAAAATAAAAATAAAAACAAGAAATGCTGGCTAACGAAAGGAATTCGTACTTCAGCAGTTAATCTGAGAAGCCTTCATTTTATCAGGAAATACTGCGACGATATTGCAACTCATAACCATTATAATACTTACAGAAGAATTTATAGAAATGTTGTTAAGGCAGCAAAAAGAAATTATTTTCACGATAGGATAATTAAAAGCGATAACACAATTAAAGAAACGTGGCACATTGTGAATGAGTTTCGTGGGAAAAATATCAATAATTCAAGTGCAAAACTTAATCCCAACATTTTAAATGAATTTTATTGTTCCATTTCAGAGAACCTGCCCTCGATCCATTATCTTACCTAAATGTATTTTATACAGCTGACACGTTTGTTATACATGAAACCAATTTGAATGAGCTTATGGACACAATCAAATTAATTAAAAACAAAAGCTGCAGTGGAATTGATAATATTTCTATAAAAATTTTTGAAAATTTGCCAGTTTTCGTTCTGGAATTGCTAATCCACCTCATCAATGATTCTTTTGTCAGAGGCATCTTCCCAGATTTCTTGAAAACCAGCATCGTTATTCCTCTCTTTAAAGGTGGTGATCCCTCCAACCCATCAAATTTCCGCCCAATTTCACTCACTCTAACTCTTGGAAAAATTATAGAAAAATTGGTTAAAATTCGATTGTTAGACTTTTTAAGCCTTCACAAAATTCTGCATCCCAATCAGTTCGGGTTTCAATCAAAGAAAAGTACAATGGATGCAATTTTCAATTTCCTCAGGGGCCTTTTCTCCAAACTAAACCTAAAAGAAGCAAGTGCTGCAGTATTTTGTGATCTGTCAAAAGCGTTCGACTGTGTTGATCATGAAATACTGCTGCGCAAGCTCCAACACGCCGTCTTTAGAGACCAAACTCTAAATTGGTTTAAATCGTATTTAAATCACAGATCTCAAATTGTGAAAACCGACAGTCTCTCAGGTATTGGGCACATTAAGCACAGTGTACCACAGGGTTCTATTCTTGGACCTATCCTATTCTTGCTATATTTTAACGATCTCGTAAATATCAATATTGAGGGATCTTTCACTATTTTCGCAGATGACACCACTATCTTATGGCATGATAAGGATGTAAATAATTTTCATGATAAAATGTCTAGGGATATTTCCATAGTACGAGATTGGTGTAACTCGAACTTGCTCTCATTCAATATAAAAAAATCTTTTCTCTTATCTTTTCAGTGCAATTTACCCGATATACCTTTAGGAAACAATTTTATCTCATCTTGCAATGCCAACAAATTTTTAGGAATTCAAGTAGACACTAAATTAAAGTTCCAAAATCATGTTTTTGAACTTAGCAAAAAGTTATCTTCTAGTTGCTTTGACTTGCGTATGGTCTCGAATGAATTGGACATGGCAACTGCCAAAATTGTTTACTATGCATTATTCGAGTCACATGCCAGGTATGGCATATCTTTCTGGGGAACATGCAACAAACAGCACTTCAACATGATTTTCACCCTTCAGAAGCGAGCTGTTCGTTATCTTTGCAAAGTTGGTCCCAGAGTATCTTGCAGAGGGTTATTCAAGAAGCATAAGATCCTCACTCTCCCATCCTTGTACATTTTTGAAACAGTATGTTTGATACATAGAAATAAATCAACATATGATACCATTTGGATCCACCCGTCAAAATAGCAATTTGAGGCTTCCTATTCCTTCTTCAAATTTGATAAAAAACTCAATAATATATAATGCAGTTAAGCTTTATAACCATCTTCCGTCCAGTGTTAAGGACATAGGATCAGTTGATTTTTTCAGACATTCGGTGAAGTTGATTCTTGTAGAAGAGGCATTTTATGATATTCAGGAATATCTAAATCAAACTAGTAGATAGTAGTACTTCTCGTTCTTGATGACATATGTAATGTGTCTTGTCTATATATAGTTCGTTTTAGCTTGTTAGTTTATTCATATGTATATATTTGATTGTATGTGTAACTACTTTATATTTTATATATGTAAAATTTTTTACGACTTTGTCAATGAGATATAAACCTTCGGACAATAAAGCATATTTTGATTGATTGATTGATCAATTCTAGCACCAACACTATTTCTACTCCATATCAACGATGTGTTGGAAGCAACTTCATGTCCAGTACACAGCTTCGCGGATGATAGTACCCTCCATACCGCCTTTTCTTCCAGGGCTCCAATACCAGCCAGGCAAATCAGAAACAAACGAGGAAGAAATGTTGACAACATAAATATGGACTTGGCAATAATTCTCGAATGGGGATCCAATAACTTGGTAGATTTCAATGCAAACAAAACACAAGTATGCCTTTTCTCTAGAAAAGCCGATCTCACTGTGCCCAACATAAGCTTGTCAGGAGTAACCATACCTTTGAAGACATCCATTTCGATGCTTGGTATTACTATCAGCAATAACCTTTCTTGGGAAAATCACATGAGATCAATTGCTGAAAGTGCATCCCAAAAACTTGGTTATCTGTTTCGGGCCAGGAGCTATTTCACTTCCAGTCAGCTGCTTATGATCTATAAGGCACAGATCCGACCTGTCCAGGAATACTGTTCCCATATTTGGAGTGCAGCACCCAAACATACCCTGAAACTGTTGGATTCTGTCCAAAAATGGGAAATTCGTCTCGTGGGCGATGCCTCGCTCACAACCTCACTCACTTATCTGGAACACCGTAGAAAAGTTGGCGACCTTGCTCTATTTTATAGATATTATCATGGACGATTCTCTTTTGAAATATCAACAATTGTTCCTCCCTTGGCAGTCCCCGCGAGATTAACCCGTCGAGTTGAGGCTTCACACTCCTTCGTGGTCACTTTGGAGACCTGCAGAACATCTCTTTCCAAAGACTCGTTCATCCAACGAACAGCGATACTTTGGAAAACATTGCCAAGTGAGGTGTTCCATGAGACATATAACCTCCAGAAATTTAAGAAGAACACCACTTCCTACCTCATTTTCTTTGGTTCTCACGATGTTCTCTGAACATTACAGGATATCCCTTCTCGTGGGAACCAGAACATAAAAAAACACTTGGTGGAAGACGAAACAAAAAATCGACGGAGGGCTATGCCCAATAATCTTCTCCTAGTTTGCTTAAAATAGTTCCCCCAATATTCCTTCCATCTATAGCGGCTTCCGTGGTGACGTTAGATGTAGCCCTCAATATGCAGAGTCTTCTGACCGAAACCACAATTGGGCGGCTGGCTTATGTTTGTTGACTCCGTTGATTTGTTGCTTCATCTTCCACCAAGTGGTGCCCATCTTTTGCACTTCTTTCACCGTACTGATGAGGGCCGAAGGCCCGAAACACTTGTCTGCGGTTAACTCTTCTTGAGGGTTACGTCGAGTAATCTTTTCCTAGTTTGCATAAAACAATTTCCTTAATATTATATTCATCATAATTCTACTTCTGAACTTCGATGTCACGCAGGTAGCTATAGCTGCCTCCGTGGTGACGTTAGTTGTTGCTCTAGAATGCAGAATCTACTGACCGAAACCACAATTGTGCGACTGACATCTGTTTGTTGACTCCGTTGATTTGTTGTTTCGTCTTCCACTAAGTGTTGCCCTCGGTGTTGCCTATCTTTTGCACTTTTTTCACCGTACTGATGAGGGCCGAAAGCCGAAATTTCTATACAGTGTCTTTCAAAAGTATCGGAACGGTCTCATATTTCAGGAACGGCTTGAGAAAAATTAACGAAATTTTCTACAGGGTGATTATTGATGATGTCCGATTCAATGGTGGCATCGGCAATGTTGCCAAGTTTACAGTTTTTCAGATATTAGGAGTAACTTTATTTTTTCAAATGGAATACCCTATTTGTTTTCCTTGAAATACATTCAGCGACACCTCATTACTTATGTTTCCAAATATCAGATTTCAAATTGGAGTGGTTTTCGAAATATGACAACATGGCATTTTCGTTCAAAAGTCTGGGAACCTTTTAATATTTTCAATACGGTTCAAGGAAAATTCATGAAATTTTATACAAGATGGTTTCTGATGATGCCCGATTCAATGGTGGTATCGGCAATGTTGCCAAATCAACAGTTTTTCAGATATTGAGGGTAACTCAATTTTTTCAAATGGAATACCCTATTTGTTCTCATTGCAATACATTCAGTGACGCCTCATTGCTTATGTCTTCAATTTAGAATCTGATATTTGGAGACATAAGTAATGAGGCGTCGCTGAATGTATTGCAAGGAAAACAAATAGGGTATTCCTTTTGAAAAAATTGAGTTACCCTCAATATCTGAAAAACAGTTGATTTGGCAACATTGCCGATACCACCATTGAATCGGGCATCATCAACAACCATCCTGTCGTAGTTTTCATAAATTTTCTCTGAGCCGTTTCTGAAATATGGGACCGTTCCAGAACTTTATAACGAAAATGCTATGTTGTCATATTTCGAAAATCACGTTAATTACGAATCTGATATTCAGGGACTCAAGTGATTAGGAAGCGCTTAATTAATTGCAATGAAAATAAATGGGGTATTCCATTTGAAAAAATAAAGTTACTCCTAATATCTGAAAAACTGTAAACTTGGCAACATTGCCGATGCCACCATTGAATCGGACATCATCAATAATCACCCTGTAGAAAATTTCGTGAAAGACACTGTATATATGAATATATAATAAATCCCAAATATCGACCTGGCAAATACGTTGTTTTTATCTCAATATGTTTGCCTCAATCTGGCCCTGGAAATTTTGAGCTCCTAAGATTCTGATGAAAACTGTTGTTGAATAAATAGTGCGCCAGTACAATTTTTCATGAAGCGCTTTGAATTCAGAAAAATTTCAATACAAAATACTTTTATTTTCAGGTATCCTATATGCCATGAAAATATTGGGAGATGAATTAGGAGCACCGTGGTATATAAGGGAAAACTCCATTCCAGTCATTTTCAACCAATCAGATGCTTTATTTCGAAATTTTCACTATGGTAACCAGCATAAGCATGTAGACGTAAAATTAATAAGTGGAAATTTTCTGGCATAATTTTGACAATATTTTTTATTTTCCGGAAACCTAGTCAGAAAATCATATGAAATCAATTATTTTAATGTAATAATGTATCTGATACTATACATTTTATTTTACTAGGGAACAGGGAGAGTAGTAGGACTTAATGTTCTTTTTTCAAGTATGATTCCAGTGTAACATTTTTTTCCGAATCCACAACATTCATGAATTAATTGCGGAAATTAGCCTCGTACATGAATTTTCTTTGAAAAATTTCTCGCAATAATTCATTCCCTAGGGATATTATTAGTGAGAATTTGTTGAAGCTGATAGGAATCCCTCGATGTACCCTATATTTAAATCGAAAGAGAAGAGAAAGTGACAGTGAAACTTACCCATTTCTCAGACAGTCATCAATCGTTTCCAGATATGTCATAGTAGGACTTGTGCTCTTCATTTTTTCGATAACATATGTTTCTTGTTTACCATTCACGCTTTCTTGTACTATATGTTCATGAATCTTCTGCTCATGTGAGGTTGAATGTGAGTTTGGTTCCAGGATCTCACATTTTATGCTAAAAATAGAAAGACAGCATTATTCAAACTGCTACAAAATTTGATTGATTCAGGTACCAACTTTTCAATATTTATTTATTTTCCTAAGTTGGTTGAACCATATAATACGATTATAGCTCATTTCATCCTCAGACTCAGTATATTATTCAACGAGCGCAAAATGAAAAACTTACCCCTTTCCCATAGATTCATCAACAGTTTTGAAATATGTCATAATAGTTTTTCTGTCCTTTTGTACTAAATATTCTTGTATATTCTGCTCATGTGAAGTTGAATGTGAGTTTGGTTCCGGGATCTCAGATTTTATGCTAAAAATAGAATGACGGCATGATTCATGCTGCTGCAAAATTTGATTCATTGGAGTAGGTATCAAGAAGACATATCGATAAATCGAAGCTAACTGAACATAATTTTACTGAAGATGGACAACATATGGCAGAATGGAATAATATCAAAATCATAGGAAAGGAAGATAACAACCAATAAAGAAAAATCAAGGAATCCGCTTGCATTCTTCTGAACGGAGACAATAGCATTGCTTCCTGTTCAGTTGATATAGATAGAACATGGTATTCACTACTGAAAACTGAACATAAAAATGGCAGATTCAAGATCAATTAATGAAAACATCCTGTAACTCATTTGTAGACTAAAATTACTCATTCATATGCCAACATCAGTATGACACTGAGAAGTGTCAAACTATAAGCAGAGCACAACTTCCAAAGAAAAATATTTTGCATTTTCATGTTGAGAACGGGAGCATATTCGTTCCCGAAACGTCCAAAGATAAGTAAAAATTCGATAGTATTTCAATATATCTATATATTTCTTTCCTTCAAACATTTTTTCAAACAAAGTATAACTGACAAGCTACTGGATTTTTCTTTTAGGCTCCCTGATAGAAAAATTTGTTAAACGCAGTGACATTTTGGGGCAAATCATCTGATTTGTACCACTACAAATATACTGAAATAACACGCATATTTTTATTTTATACAAACGAAGAGAGAAAATATCAAAATATCAAGTGAATTGAAAATTAGAGCCTCACAGTCTCAGTTCTCACAATTTCTCATCAGACTGCAACACATAAGCAGCTTTCATTCTCCCATACCAAGCGAATCGCGATGCGCGATATCATATTTACTCATTTCTTATAATAGACCACCGTTGGCCCAGGGTTGTCGATTATCTACGAAGGTGTGCCCTTCAAGGCACATGCATATTTTGAGTTATATTATTTGTTGGATCGATACCCTGTCGCCCATCTCCTTAATCAATCAACATCCTGTTGAAAAAAGCAATCTTGAAAATTTTATTGAAGAATCTCTACAATGTATTGAAATAGTTACACCTGGCTAAATTAACTGAGCACTAGCCGATTTGTATACCTCTAGGTCGGTCCCGAAGGACGGCATAAGGAATGGAAGTTACCTTTAACCGACATTTCTCTCAGATTATTCATGAAGGTATGCCCTTTCGTTGCGTTTTGACCCATCAATCAATGTTATTATATTTGCATACGATTAAGGTGTGCGAATTCTGACGTATTCGAAGTTCACCAGGCGTCATTGACTTATAGGTACGAGTTTATATTAATCAATCAATCGATCAATCAAGAATGTACTTTATTGTCAAAGAATAAATTCTCATTGACAAAGCGTTATAAATTATTCATAGGAATGTGTTGCATAGTAGCTTAAATTAATAGAATATAAATTAGATAAATAAAACATGAGCAAGTACATAAAACGAGTAAAAAATGTAAAATTACAAATATTATACATAGGTACACATATATTTATATACATAGTCATTTAGATCAATACCTAACAAAAAGTGTATCATAATGATTGTTATTGTATATCAAAATCACTGTCATTATAAAATTCTTGCAGACAATAGTATGCTTTAGTAGAAAGTATGTTTTTAATTTTTTTTCGAAACTTTGGTAAGTCTGACATTTGTTTCAAGGTAGGCAAATGATTGTATATAAATAAATGCAAAAACATACATAACTGAGTTTTTTAATAATTCCGTTTACGGTATTGGTAAGGATATATTATCTTTTGTCGAGTATTATATGCATTGGAATGTATAGTAGAATAATGTTTCTTTTTCATCAAACACGCAGTTTCTAGAATGAAAATGCTACATAGGGTTAGAATTTTGTGGTGTATAAATAGGGATTTACAGTGCTCAGTTCGTTTAACCCCACATAAATAGCGAATGGCTTTCTTCTGTAGTACAAAAATTCAATTGAATAATTGCTGGTTGCAGAAACCCCAGAAAGGTATGCCATATCTCAATCTCAAATGAGTATAAGATTCAGCTCTACTCTGTATACATTTCTTTTTCATCAATTTGAGTAGGAAAAGGCGAATCTACGTTGATTATGGTATTCATGGCGATGAAATACCAAACTTGGGCCTAATATGGACGTCCCTGGGACGTTCCATCGTGTAACATCGGACGTCCCCAGTACGTCCTATGGACGTCTCTCGACCGACACTGGACGTCTTCAGAACGTCTTATACGTCCCAGATGTACGTCCTCTGGACATACAAAGGACGTCTTCGTGTTATCTGGGCTGAGCCCTAATCTGGCACCAAGTAGTGCCGAGGATGATCGGGTGTGACTTTACGGGGTGTGAGGGGGGAGCATTTGACAAAAAATTTAAAAACCATAAATATCCATGTAACCAAGTTATCTTCGCAACGCCAGTTCTCGAGGAACCGGTCAATACAATTATGTACCCACTACTAGTCAAGGGGGAAGGTTCTGAGAGCCCCTTTGTCAGAAAAAAAATCTAGGAAAATACAACTTTCAAAATTAACCAAAAAATGGGGGAACATTTTCTTGAAAACCCCCAATAAAATTATTATTTTGAGGCTGCAAAATTCCAATGCTACTGAAAATTGACTTCGCTACAACCTCCACCATTATAGTTAGATATTTGTTTCACTATATGCAGAAAAGCACAAGATTTAATGCTGCGGTTGGGGTTTCATAGCCGAGGCTAGGAATCCTGCTTAGGCAGTAAAAATACACCTTTTATGCCTTTTAATTGTCATTCAAACGCTACGTTTGATGTCATTTAGAGAAAAATTAGAATTAAGAAATGAAATTCAAAAAGATGATGGAATGGAGGGGTTCAGCTATCAAAGCTGCTTTTGAACCCAACAAAAAAATAATGAGTAATCATATATAATATATATATATATACAGTGTCATTCATAAAGTCGGCATCATATGGGAAAAACTTTTATTTACGACTTATTTTGGAATTCGAGTTGGACGTTAAGTTTTGCTTCAGAAATGATGCAAAATGGCCTACTCAATCGGGTCACGTGACTTTCGCTACATGTCAAAAGTGGCATTTTTTCAAATTAATCGCTGGAAGTACGCTTATTTGTTCGAATATCGATAAAGTTTACTTGAAAAAGTTGTTTCTATTTCAATTTTACACATGCTTCTCGAATTTGATCTTTCTATTGCAACTTTTAGATTTTGATTTTTTTTTAATTTTTCAAAATTTCTGTAATATTTGAAGAATTGTTAATTCCACGAAACTACTTCATACCAGTAGCTTTTTCATGCTAGTTACTTTCAATCACTTATTATCACTGATTATGGACAGAAATATGATTTTCTTCAGAAAATGATAATACCCGCTTCCAAATTCTGTTATGTTTGATGCAAAGTTGATATATCGTCAAGCATTTAGAAACGAAATTCATTTAAACTGATATTTTCAGTACTGAAAAAATGAATTTGAATGAATTTCGTTTCTAAATGCTTGACTCAAACATAACAGAATTTCGATGTTATGTTTGCATTAAACATAACTGAATTTTTGAAGCGGAGATTATCATTTTCTGAAAAAATCACATTTTTGTCGATAATTAGTGATAATTATTAATTGAAAGTGAGTAGCATGATGAAGCTACTGGTATGAAGTAGTTTTATCGAATTTACAATTTTTTTAATATTACAGATATTTCGGAAATTTTTAGAAAATCTGGAAATCTAAAAAATGTTATAGAAAGATAAAATTCGAGTCACATAATAATATGTGAAACTTTTTCGATATTCGAACAAATAAGCCTACTTTCAGCGATTAATTTGAAAAAATGTCACTTTTGACATGTAGCGAAAATCACGTGACCCCGATTGAGTAGGCCATTTTTCATCTTTTTTGAAGCAAAACTTTACGTCCAACTCGAATTTCAAAATAAGTCATTAATAAAAGTTTTTCCCATATGATGCCGACTTTATGAATGACACTGTATATATATACAGGGTGTTCCTTAAAGACATGCTAATATTTAAGGGGGTGATTCTCTGACTCAATTCAAGATAAAAACTTCCTATGAACGTATGTCTTAAAAGTCTTAACTTTTGAGATACAGGGCGATAAAGTTTCGAGAAAAAATCAGCTTTTTAATAATAACTGAGATAATATTGTAGACATCTTTACCAAATTTGGTACATGTCTTGTGTGCGTCAAGGTGTATTTTCTGATGTACACAAATTTTCATTTTCTCTACCAGTGGCTTAAAAGTGAGCAACGAAGGAAAATTTCCAAATTTCATACAATCCTATAAAAGGCCATTCAATTCTGTACAAAAAAGATCCTCTTATTGATACTCGATAGAACGCTCCGTTTTCGAGAAAAAACGGAAAAACGAGACCAGACTTCAAATTTTGATGTGAATGCTAAGCTGAGTACTCCATTCAGGACATCAATTACTGGATAACCACAGTATGTAAAATTTTGAAATTTCTGCACCGTTTCAGTCATATAACAGACTGCATTTTTTCATCACGAAAAGCTATACAGAGTGGACAAAAAAATAATCTATGCATGTTCTTCGGAAATCTCTGCTATCATCCCTTCACTAGCAATACCAATCAGACGAACTAGAGCCCAGTCAGCACATCCTTTCGTTGTCAACCTCGAAAGATGTCTAACAGCACTTTATCAAGACTCCTTCAACCATAAAACGGCTAGGCTCTGGAATTCATTGCCTGTGGAAGTATTCCCAACAACATATAATCTCCAAAAGTTCAAAAAAATTCCAATACCTACCTCTTGTCCCTATCCTCCCTAGGAACGCACGATGTTCTTTGAACATTATAGGGATTCCCTTTCGTGCGCTCCAAGCGATAAAAAAAATCAATTTTGATATACCCTGTATCTCAAAAGTTAGGACGTTTACGACATATTTTTTATGAACTTTTCTTCTTAAAATGGGTCCAAGAATCGCCCCCTTGGATATTAGCATGTCATTAAGGAACACCC